TGGTTTCTGTAAATATAAAATAAGTCAGGCAGACTGAAAGTATGTAGTGGGCTCCGTGGGTCTGAAACCCCCCTGGGACACTGAGAATTACTCTTGTGTAGGAGTGTGCTAGCACAACACCAGCTGATCTTGGTTCACATAGTATATAGGGGCATTCTGCTGACATGCCAGAAGATGGAAGGGCATAGTTGGCGTTCAGTGATCCTGAGCCACAGCAAGTGAGAACAGCCTTAAGGTTGCTCTCACTTGTGCTGTGGGTTAAAGTAGCCCCCCGTTTCCCACCCAGAATTGGGAAAGGGGGCAGAAAGCCATCCAAAGCCACTGCTTTCTTGGCAAGGTGCTTTGAGTATTGCTCAGATAAACTTGAGTATCTAGCTCAGCACGTGTACTTAAGACATGGCCCATAAGGATCAGCACCCTCCTCCCATGTGTACTGTATGTGGAACATGCTGACTAGCATCAAACACCGGAGGAAAGTCCCATGTGGGTGAGTTGATAGGCAGAGAGTATCTTCCTCCAACAGCTGGACGATTTCAGCACTGCTGTAGCTGGTTGAAGGGGACCAAACCTTCAAGGAAGACGGACTTGGTTCCGTTTGACCAGCCAGAGCAGGGTGCAGCCCCGTATCCATGTGAGCACGCGCAGCTCCAGCTGTTTCCACCGCGGCCTGAGTCCGCTTCATGGCACCTTTCCCTGCAACATAATTAGCACAAAGTTAATTAGGATGAGCAGTGTCACCAGCCACTGCTGGGTGTTGACAGGGAGTGGAAGGCTGCCCCCCCCATTCTTGGGACACCAGCCTAGAATGTAGGGCAGGGGTGGCCAACCCATTACAGACAAAGAGCCAAAATAGTGGTGGATACAGTGCAAAGAGCCAAGGGAAAAAAGTTGTCAAGAAAAAAAAGAAAAAAGCCCCAACGCCGCGTTTCGTGGCGCAAAAAAGAAGAGCCGCATGCAGCTTGCGAGCCGTGAGCTAGCCACCCCTGATGTAGGGGATCTGGGTTTAAGTCCCTAGTTTGGCACAGACCTTCTTTGTCACCCGGGCCAAGTCCCTGATGCCCTGAAAGTAGCTCCCTACCTCACAGGGGCAGCTGGCGGAACAGCGCTGAGCACTTCCCTTGTGCTTTGCATTTTACGTGCTGCATTCCCTGCATCCTTGTAACAAGTCTGTGTGGCTCTGGACAAAATCCCAGAACTGGCCCTTACCACTGGGGTGAATTTCAGGCTAGCAGAACAGGTTCAGCAAAGGTGGGCCCAAGCCGCAAAGCTGAGCCCTGGCTCTGAACACACATTGCCATGAGAGTCTGGGGTAGTTTCAGCTTCAGCCCAAGTAATGAAGCTGGTCTGTGGAACCAGCTCTGAACCCAAACTCTCCCCATGTTCAGGGCGTGGGCCCATCTTCAGCAGCCGCAAGAAACCTGGCAGCTTTCCCTTTTTACATCTGCTTCCCCGCTCTCCTCCCCCTCTTTCAAAGGAGGCTGGTGGCGGTGGGTGTGGGGGAAAGACTCCTTCTTTGTCCATTGAAAGGAAAACACCTGTCAGTTGTCAGTCAGGCATCACTTTTCAGGGAGCGGGCCCCTGCCTCTCCAGCTGCACCTGAGACCAGCAGCCTGGTGACAGCTGCCAGGACTCTAACAATGGGCCGCGTGGCAGCTCTTACACAGCACAAAAGCCGCATTTTACCGACCGGCACCGAGGCCCCATGCCATGTGTGTGTGGCTCGTCAGGGATGTGACAAGACTCCCTCGGCAAGAGGTCTTAATTCGGAGCATTTCCCTCCTTCCCATCCCCCCTCAACGCTTGGCATCGCAGGGGCTGTTAAACTGTGTAACTTCAGGATCCCTGCACGTTTCGGGGCTTTCTGTCTGCTTCAGGAGGGCTCTTTATTAGTGCAGAATAGGCCAGCTGCATGAATGGTGTGTGTATTCCCTAGGGAGAGGCCCCACTTGCTGCGAGAAAATGCTTGGGGAAGCAGTCAGTAACTGAGACTCGTTCTCCTTTTCCATGTCAGCCTTAGGCAGGTGTGACTCTATAGAGACGAGTGATTTGGGCCTGTGTCTGTGGACTAGCAGCTACAGGCCTCAACTCAGGGCCCTGTTGTCAGGGGCGACTGGTGTCTGTGGAGGGATGGGGTGCCTGGAGGGCCACCCAGAGGGGCAGGGAGGGAACATGGGGCACCCTATTTAGCAATGAAAAATTGGGTGGTGCACAGGGAACCTCTCAAGTTCCTAGCCTCTCTTTGTCAGAAGCTGGGAATGGGTGACAGGGGAGGGATCCCTTGATGGTTCCCTGTTCTATTCATTCCCTCTGGGGCACCTGGCATTGGCCACTGTCAGCAGACAGCATACTGGGGTAGATGGACTTTTGGTCTGACCCGTATGGCCATTTTTACATTCTTATATTCTTACCACGCGTCACTTATGCTTGTTATGTTGGGTGTTGTTCACAGTCAGACCCTGCAACAAGAGTTTCTTAGCTAAAGAGATACAGCACACAAAGGAGGTGACAGGAAACAGATGAAGTGATTTGACCAGTGTCCCATGACAAATCAGCAGCAGAGCCAACCCTAGAGCCCAGGTTTCCTGTGTACCCGTCCAATATCCTAGGTAGTGGATCATGATGCCTCTCCTTGTGTGTCGTTTGATGAATCTAGCCCAGACCGTGCACCAAAATGTAATGGATATTGTGTAACACAATGGTGATTTGTAAAAATGGTCTCATTTTGGATTCACTCCGGACAGCTGATGAGGCATTTGCTGAATGAAGGGGGAGAGCATTTCCACAATTTGGCCAAAACCACAGAGAATTTGCTGCTTCCGTAGTATTCTCCTTTCTCTGGAATCTGTCACCTAGCCATCAGAAGAACCCTTAACCATTCCAAAGCGCTAGCTTGTGTTACCTCTTAGAACAGGGCAACACAACTTTGGAAGCCCCAGGGACCACGGTGATGCTCACAGCACATGCCGAGAGCTGCAACATAAGCATGGTTGCATATAGATGCAGATATATATGCAAATAGCTTCTTTCACACCGACGGGCATAAATACAAAGATTAAGGCAAAACTACACAACACACAGTCCCCATTTAAGTCAATTCCGCTGATATTAATAAAATGCAATATTTATCTGATTTCCACCCATATGACAGCACTTTTAATGAGCAATACAGTCCAGGAATTTAACTACTAAAACACATATCAACAGAAAGCCATTATATTGACTCGCCATTGTGGAGCGTGTTCCCAGTAGAGGCTATGTTCAAAAGATTCCACCTGCAGGCCATCTGTTGAGCCCCATGTAAACCCAACCCGCACCGTGGGCTGCAAATCAACGGGCTGTGGGCTGCATGTGGGCTGTGGGCCATGTGTTGAGTAGCCTTGTCTTAGAATGAGTCCTAAGAAGTCAGCATTGACTTACAGTCAGAGCAAAGGGCTGTGTTTTGTTCTTGGCTCTGCGGCTCATTCCTTATGGGCCATTGTGCAATTCATGTCACTTCTGTGTCTCTGTTCACTCACTTGTAAAAATGGAGGAGAGGAATGCTCACTCCACAGGGATGACTTAATTCATTAGTGCTGCATTCCCCATAGGGTAGAGTGTGTAGCCTGAAGGGTGGCATCGGAAAGGCCTCTAAAAGGGTCTCCATAGTATCATCTTTAATTTTTAAAAAAATAAGCTATTTTCAGTTCAGAAGGGGACCTTGATGTGAATATAACTGATGCAACAAGGTCTGTCTGAGTCTGCAGAGACCCTGACACAGTAGCTCCAAGCAGTGAACTTCCCCATTCCTTTCAGTGGGTGCAAACTCAGGTGCTAAGTGTGACGGTCCTCACCCCTGTGCTTTATGAAAATTGGCGTATGAATATAAATATTCATAACTCAGAGATGCTTTGGACAAAATATCTCATGTGACGTATCAGTTTTAATGTTACAATCTGCTGGGTCTGTATATCCTATTTTGGTGCATGTATCATTCTTGTATGAGAAGTTAGAAATATGAAGTGTGAGATTGTTTATGTGCCAATGAGACCTATTACAGGTTCCTTCCTAACCCCCCCTCCCAGTCTTAATGACTTGGTGATCAACTTAACGACCAGTTAACAGCCTTGTTTGTCCCGTGAGTCCAAAGGTGATTGGACTAGTAAGACATGTGACCATACCACTTGGTACTGGGATTCCTTTTCGACCCAGGTATTTTTTCCATGGAAGGGGGAATGTAGAACAAAAGTTTCCCACCCTGGGCGAAGACTATTTAAGCAAGGGGATGCTATCAGATCTTTGGTTTTGGCTAGCCTGACACGCTCCAAAGAGGACTGGGGACCCAGGTCAGGGTAAAAGAGTGTCTGACCTGAAAATTATGTCTACAACAAGAACAGCTCATTATTCTCTGTTTGCAATATGTTTTTAGTGAATTAGAACTAGCTCTGTGTTTTCTTTTCATTTTAACTTAGTAACTTACTTTGATCAATCTGTTTTCACTTGCAACCACTGAAATCCTTTTGTTTGTACTGAATAATAACATGGGTCCAGTCTGGCAATTCCTATGCTCCTGCATCTGATGTGTGCATTGGTAGCCCATTAATGATGGACCTGCCGTGAGCCATAGGGAGCACTTGTGGGAATTCTGTCTTTGATTTAGTTGAAGTCAAGATCAGCCCCTTTCCCATTCAGTCCCTGAATCTTCCCAGGCTACATGTGGATGGACCCTGATCTGTGCAACTAATTCACCATGTCAGTAAACCCATGACATTCCTGACCAGCAAGGAATGTGTGAAAACGTTTGTTCCATTTTCTGCCATGACTTCGCACTTTTTATCTCTGGATCTTAGTGGGTGAGATTTTCACAGGTGCACATGGCAACTAATCTCCTAAATCCCAGAGAATGTCAATGGGATTTAGGTGGTTAACTGGAGTCCACATGGAAGTCTCCTCCAAAAGTCCTTTACAAAGCTGGGCAAGTATCATTTGTTTTACATATGGGGAAACCGACGGGCAGCGAAGTAAGATATCTAGACAAGGTCAAGCTGGTGAATCATGGTTGTCAAAACTGAGATTCTAGTCACACTCATATTTTCAGCCACTAAAGTACGTCAGTTACATACAAGCATCTGTGTGGTTGCAACAGATGAAAGCAGAAAGGGAGGAGAGTGTGATGTGTATATAATTTCATCTCCCTGAAACCACACACTTCCTTACATTCCATAGCAGCGTAATTCATATGGGGATATAAAGAAGCATGTTGTCTCAAAAGAGAAGTCAGTCTGGCAGTCTCCTGGCAGTAGGACAACTGCCCATCCTCCGATCTAAAACAGATAATATTGCTTCTGAGATGTGTTTCATGAGTGAATTGACTATTACCATTTTTGAAAAGCAGTAGGCACATAAAGGCTTTCAATTCCACCTTTGCAGTTGGTGGCTTCTGGCTGGTTGGGGACAGATTTTCAAGCACTTTAGAATATCAACTGCATATCTCATTTGCAAGAGCAATTTCTGTGATTGTGTGTGCAAAGGCGACATTCTGGTTACTGGCATGCCCTGATTTGCACGCATGAGGATTACATGCAGTATTTTGGTACATTTTGCATGCACAACTCCACACCTGAAAATCTGTCTGTTTACTGAGATAAAACAATTCCCAAATAAAAATAGGAACCACAGACGCTGGAGATAGAAAACACCTTATTAAATTGACTAAT